CACACTTTATATATAAAACTGGACTTGAGATCCAGGTTGGAGCTTAAGCTGGTCATACATTAGTAGATTTTCATATGACTAGTCATACAAAATTTTCCAACAGTACATTTGATAACCCGATGAATGGCTGTAGTGCCACTCCTGAAAGAGCCGCTTGGTAATTTTGGATTCTTTGTTCTGCGCCTCGACTCCAAGAACAACCTCAGCTCTTCTGACACACCTGGTTGAATACAAATCACTGCAGCATGAATAAAGACACAAGTGTAAAATACCTTTAACCTGGCTGTGGGGTATTACTAGTAAAGAGACACACATCTGTTTAGGGGTAAACACAATCTATTGATAGTGGGGGTTATGCAGAGCTCGTAGCTGTCCTCTTCTGGTTCTCTCTCCCTGATGCTAATAGGTGGTGGGGTAGAGGGACGGGCACGCAAAAATCTGATCCTTTGAATTTTCTGCAGTCAGAAACAAACAATTAGAAAATCAAACATTCCTGAAACAAAAGTTTTGAACAAAATTCTTCTAGTGTAGCCCTCAAAATTTCCACTCGCCTGCTTGCATTTGGCAAGTGGAAATAACCATGAGGTGAGTGTGTCCCAGGCGCCACATCAAATGCGCCACATCAAAGGGGAGCGATGGGAGCCGAATTCTCCTCCCAGCCACCATCCTGTGTCATTCTACTAGCAGAGAGCAGAAGGTAGCAAACAACTGGACGAGGCAGTGGCAGGGCGGGGAGGGGTGTTGGGCCGGAGCTGCCAAAGTTAATTTTTCCTATTAACAAGCTGGTGATTGGTTGCTCGGACCTCCTAGCAACCAATCACCTGCTGGTTAACATGAAAAGTTAACTCTGGAAGCTCCGCTCTCCTGTCCAATGCTGTGCTCCACTGTGTGTAAGTCACTGCTGTGGGGAGATGTTAAAGGGGGTAGAAGACATGAGTGGGAGGGTGTGAATGGGGGTAGAGGACATGGGTGGGGGGGGTGTGAATGGGGGTAGAGGCTGTCTTGGGTCTCTTTCTCCTCATTGGCTGCGACACAGCAGCGGGAGCCATTGGCTCCCACTGCTGTAAATCATAGCCAGTGAGCCAATGAGGAGAGGGCGGGGGGACGGGGCCGAGCTGCAGCTCTTTGTGTCTTATGGATGCATAGAGTGGGGCTCAGAAGCAAGCATGCACCAGTGCCCCATACCAAGTGGCTTGCTATTGGGGGCACTGGTCAAGGTGGAGGAGCCAGGAGCGCTGGTGGGGGACCCGAGAAGGAAAAGATTGGGGATGCTCTGTGCAAAACCATTACACACATCAGTTAAATATAACATGTTTGTCATTATAAGAAAACAAACAAAAAAAACCCAAAGCTTTACTATTACCTTAAATTATACCTTAATCCAAGAGCATTAACTAAATTGGCTACGAAACAAAAAATGAGGCCCATGGATGCTGTATATGTCTGATGTTGTCAGTCCGATATTATGCTTGCCAAGAAAGGAGGCCCCTAGGCACTATTTGAGTAAACTAAGGCTTGTATATATTCATTCCTCCCTCCATCCCCCATATCATAAGCAAAACTAAGTCTTTGAAATTTCATTGTGATCATCCATAAGCAAATCATAACGTCAGACAACCACAGACTGCCAAAGAGTTATATGCTTAAAAGAATTTTGGGTTTTCCTAAAAGGATTACATTTTTTATATACTGTAAACACTGCCACACCTCTGTAAGCAACAATTTCATATTTTGAGCGTGTTTTATAGAGGAATATGTTCAGTTCATTGGGACCAGATGTGAGATGTCACCCCAGCTGTAACACAACTATGTTATCTCTGAGGCTTCATATGCACAAGTGGTAAGTGTTCCATGCAAATTCTAACACATCCTAAGGGCAGCTCACAGTTCCTATTTACACTAAATTGATGACTTAGTGCACTTGGTGGGAGATTTTGATAACCACCCCCCCAAGAGGTTAGCCACAAAAACTGAATGCATTTACACCATAATAGCAAGTAAACACAATTTCCATTTTAGGTTGTCTTACCCACTTCTAATTTTAAGAATTGCATCCAGTTCTTCCCATGTAGAGAGTTATCCACAGCAAACAAGAACAGAATTTGTCGGGCTAGCTCTGAACTCACAGAACACAATCCTATGACACACTTTCTCCCTCTAAACAAGGAGTTTCCATTTAAAAGCCCCCCCCCCCAAAAAAAAGGAATAGTAAGTACCCACCGAAAAAGAAAGGCGATCCTGTCACTGAATATCAAAATCAAACACGGGAACATGACCTTAAACTAACTGGAGGAAAGTTCAAAACTAATCTCGGAAAGTTCTATTTTACTGAAAGAATAGTTTGGAGTAAACTTCTAGCAGAGGTAGTGAGCCAGTCAACAGTAAATAGCTTCAGGTATGCTTGGGACAAGCATAGATCTATACTCAGACAAAAAGTTAAAAACAAAAACAACCCCCCCCAAAAAAAACAAAAAACAGCCCAAAAAAATCAAACACAAAAAACACACACACAAAAAAAAATTGGCAGATTCGATAGACCACTTGGTCTTTTTCCGTCCTCACCTTTCTATGTTTCTATGTAATATTTATGAATTAATTATAAAAAAAAAGCCTTATTTGTGGTCATTTTGTTTTTGTATCTCAATCTAAAGACACCTGTCACTTCCAAGCTATGTCAGACTCCAACATGGAGTGGTTGCAAGGGAGCCCAACCTAACTTTCCATAGTTAGGCTCCAGAGCTCTAAACAAACATTCATCTAATATCATCATGCTGTGCCTTTTTCTGACTTGTTAAACCTCACAACCTGGTCACAGGTACACCATGGGAATAGGAAAAATGCCTGGGGACTTGGTCCTGGACATGCATCATGTACAAGACCAAGTCCCCAGGCATCTTACCCATTCCTCTACTTCAGCTTTGTCTACCCTACATCCTGGCAGTCTAAGAACTCTGATATCAACAAATCGAAGCTGGGTCCATAGCCCTGCACTGGACATAAGGATGCCACCACTGGAGGGAAGCACAGGATCAGGTAAGTAACCATCTCCTAAACATAAGTGAGCAATGAACCCTTGCAGTGGAGATTTAGTTTTACTGGAGTTAGGCTTTAAACATATCAGGAGTCTTCAATGTATGTTTCTTCTACTGCAAGCACACGGTGGATCATTATGTACTATAGTACTGGCGTGTGTGAATCAGTCCCCTTCTGGACTCATGGTCAAGAATGTGGCTGAAGCACTACTGCTCCCAGTATTCCTGCTTATGTCCTTTTCAGGGCTTTACATTTGAGACTTTTTCAGTGTTCATCCACAGTAAAAATCTGAGAAGGACAGGTTAGATCTAAAGAAGACTTGGTCAGCTGTCATTTGTTCAAATTAAACGCACTTGACTAGCTGAATCCTTGAGAAATATGATCCTATAATGATGCGTTTTCTTCACTTGCGGGTAATGTAAATGTTTATATATGAAATAATCTTCTTTAATAAATATTGACTTATGAAATCAACAGAATAAGTAGATGAGCTGTGTTCTATTATGCACTTGGTGAGCCTGAACCATACAGGCATAAAAATTCCTAGACCGAAATGTTTTAAATATGTGACAGCAAGGGGCAAACTCCAGTAAATTGGGGACAGCTGTCAGCACACAGTTATTGTCCTAATACAGTAAGTGGTTTAAATGTACAAAGCCATTACATATCCCATAACATGTAGACGAGTTCAATAAAATACACAACTCAGAAGTGTTAATGGGGTTTTAATTAGGTATTTATGAATTATGAACAGTGAAAACCACGCTACAATGTTTTTTATCACTTTTATCTTTTGCAAATCTTTTACACCAGGCTAATGTGAAAATATTTTAGTATGTTTGTCTCTAGTGCATAGTCTTAACTATGTCATGGGACCCCATAGCAAAATTTTGATGGGACCACCAGTCCACCTCACAACTGCCATTGATCTTAGAGTATACGTAAACCCTCATCTTGTAAAACAACCCATTCAGTTTAAAATAGAAATGAAAGGATAAAACATTTGTGTATAGATATAAAACAAAATTATAAACAACCCTTTTCCCTTTTTTTATAATTGATCACATTTCCTCTGCTCTCAGCTGCATAAGAGCTGGAGGAGAAACAGCAGCACACTGATCTACTCAAGTGAGAGGCTGTGCAGGAGGGCATGTCAGGAAAAGTCTGATCATTGTAGGACAGCACACTAAGTTCCCAGCACAGCTAGAGAATTATCCATGTTATGCTCTCCTGTTTAGTGTGGGCAGCTTTTAACAGGAAAGCAAGGGGACTGGCAGGATCACCAAGGATTTCACACGCCTGATCATTGGATTAGCGCCCAGCACAGCTAGAGAACTCACTATGCTGTGCTCTCATGCCTAGTGTGGTCAGTTTTTATTAGAAAAGCATAGGAACTGACAGGAACACCAGGGATTTCCTACAAAGAATCAATACAAAGAAAACAGGATACTTTTTTTTCAAGTACATGGTACAGCAGGTACATATCAGTTATATGAAATGCTGGGTTTACATATTCTTTAACCACTTCAAGTCCAGGCACTTTCATCCCTTCCAGTCCAGGCCAATTTTCAGCTTTCAGCACTGTCACGCTTTGACATTTGCACAGTCATGCAACGCTGTACCCAAATGAAATTTTTATCATTTTTTTCACACAAATAGAGCTTTCTTTTGGTGGTATTTAATCAGCACTGGGTTTTAATTTTTGCTATATAAATGAAAAATACAGACAGACAATTTGAAAAAAAAAAAAATGGTTTGCTTAGTTTTTGTTATAAAATTTAGCAAATAAATTATATTTCTTCATAAATCTAGGACAAAATGTATTCTGCTACACTGTTTGGGTAAAATAACACAAAACAGCATATAGTCACATTTTGTGTGAAAGTTATAGAGTCCACAAACTATGGGATGTACAATATATCTGAAAATTGATCAGCTGAGACCCTAAAATGCCGGACACTGGTACTGTATGGCAGTGATCAGGACGTTGATGTGAGGTATGATGGTGATCAGGATACGGTATGGTGGTGATCAGGACGCTGGTATGGCGGTGATCAGAACGCTGGTATGAAGTATAGCGTTGAACAGGACACTGGTATGGGGTATGGCGGTGATCAGGATGCTGATATGAAGCATAGCGTTGAACAGGACACTGGTATGGGGTATGACGGTAATCAGGACGCTGGTATGAGATATAGCATTGAACAGGACACTGGTATGGGGTATGGCGGTGATCAGGATGCTGGTATGGGGTATGGCGGTGATCGGGATGCTGGTATGGGGTATGGCGGTGATCAGGACACTGGTATGGGGTATGGCAGTGATCAGGAAGCTGGTATGAGGTATAGCATTGAACAGGACACTGGTATGGGGTATGGCAGTGATCAGGACGCTGGTGTGAGGTATAGCATTGAACAGGACACTGGTATGGGGTATGGCAGTGATCAGGACGGTGTTATGAAGTGTTGCGTTGAAAAGGACACTGGTATGGGGTATGGCAGTGATCAGGATGCTGTTATGAAGTGTCGCGTTGAATAGGACACTGGTATGGTGTATGGCAGGGATCAGGACTCCTGTATGAGATAAAGCGTTGAATGGGACACTGTTATGGGGTATGGTGGTGACCAGGATGCTCTGCGAGCCGCGCAGGAGCCTCTGATGTGGACTGATGTACAGGTATGTTAGCTGGCATCGGTGCTGCTTCCCATACACCGTCTATAGGCAACGAGCGGACGGAAAGCAGTTAAAGGATAAGTTCATCTTTTTGAAAGAGTGATAAATGCACATATTTTAGAAGGAAAAAATATTTCATTTTTTTACAGAATTGCACCTGGGATCAGTGCTTTATGGGTGCAATGCCAGGCTCCTGCACACACTACCTGCAGCTCTATTAGCTGTACCTTTGTATGGGCTTTCTATTACAGAGCTGTAGCCAGTGTAAATGGAATATGAGAATGCTAATCAGTGCGATCTATTGAAACTACTAAATTTCATCTGCCACAGTAGTTTTTTCCATGGCAGATTGCTTCAAATGAATGACGTGGCAATGCAGGTGGAGCCCCATTTTCAAAATGAGTTTACGGGTGCGGGGAGGGGATCCCCCACCCATTGTCAGAGGGAAGAAGGAGATGGGGGGGTGTGGCAGCATATCTGGAGCATGTTACATGTTATACCCTAAATATGCGTGTAACATGTAACATGCTCCATAATGTGAACTTATCCTTTAATTTAAAATATGTCTGTATCAGGAACAGGTAGCAGGAGAGATGTCAGCACAGTCAGTACACTAAAAGGGACCAGGCTGTGGACAGAAGCTGTCAAGGAAGAGAGGGGCATCACTGCATGAAATGCGGGCTGAATAAGAGAAATGTATAAATGAATGACTTGCGCTGATAAAATCTCTGAGCAGTAATGATCAATTACTCAACAGATGGAATAAATGGTTCCCTATTGCATAGACTACACAAGTGTCATGTAGTATTGATTTCCATGATTACACAGTACTCCAGTTGTGTGCAGCTGACTTCTACTGCATGTTTCTTGTATAGCTTAAACCACAGGGGCCCATTTGCTCTGTTTATTGAATGGTACTTGCTAACAATATTAGTAGAATAATCAAGCTTAAAAAAAACTAATGTAGCTCTTACCTCGCTCTGCCATAATGAAGAACAAAAGGGATTACTACTGCATGTATGTGCCTCTGATAGATGGTAAGTTGTAGAGAGACCAGTGCTGCAAAGAGTAAAAAAAAAAAGTGTCTTTACTCAACAAACTCTATTATAGATACCAATGTTTTGGGTCCACACAGGACCCCTTTATCAAAGTGACAATTGGCAAGGGAATCACATTGGTTCCTAGGGCTCTTCCCATCCATCCTTCCCAGATATATCTACCAATTAAGCCTTAGTACATTAGACTTGTAAGACATTATTATCACGCTGAATGGTTCTGCATTCTCTAATGACAATGAAGGCAATTAAAGACTGTTTTTGAATTGCAAATTTTTTATAGAAGCACACTGGTTATAATTGCAAATGCCTTGGATGCTGCATCTATTGCTTTATAGACAATGCAAGAAAATTACAGCACAGTACATGTATGTCAATTAAAAATGTTCTTGTTGTAAAGTACCAAAGCATATGAAGGTGTTTTAAACAAACATTAATAACAGCAAAGTTTGTAAACCTTTGAAGTCCATGAAAACACTTGCTGTTCACACATATGTATCTGTGTGATCCTTTTAGTGTGTATTAGATTGTCAGCAGAGCAGAGCAACCTGCTTCTGAAAGCTGAGAAACCCCATAATCAAATAATAGGCTTTTCAAGCACAGTTCTTGCTATTTTGCGCCATCTAATGTTAAGGTTTCAGAATTGCAATCAAATGGCCAAAGTCACAACTTGCTCTTTTAAAAGTATGCGTTTTTTAATCATTTTTAATTTACAGCATGGTTTGCAAACATTATAATTTATTGTTTTTGAATGATGCCATATTTATATTAAAGTACTGTGTTTCAAACATGACTATTGATTTAAAAAGCATTAAATTGATAAATAAAAATTCCTTTAGAAGCAAAATTACTATATGACAGTTTTATCTGTTTCAAGGCAGCAACACAAGGGCCAGTTTTTCAATCAATGCAACAGAATTAAGCCTCATATGTGATAGTTATATTGTGCAGAGAACAAAAACTTCAGCCAAAAATAACAAGATGAAAATGAGTATTTGAAAATGAAAATGAGTGTTCCATTAAGATAAAAAAAATAATAACAGCTTTTGCTGCAATATTAATTTTACATAGTTGGTAAGATTGAATAAAGACACCAGTCCATCCAGTTCAATCCATGTAGGTGTGAGCTCATGTCAAAAATCATATCCCCTATCCCTGTATATTGTGTATGCTAAGATGCCCATCTAAATGTTTTTTTTGAAGCTCTCAATACTTCCCGTTGACAACACCGATTGTGGAAGTGAGTTCCACATCCTCACATCTCTGACAGTGAAAAAACCTCTACACAGTTTAAGGTTAAACCACTTCTCTTCCAATTTCTTTAAGTGGACCCGTGTCTTCTTATACTCTCTGAGACTGAATAGTTTATTCTTAATGCTAGAATAACCACTGAGGAATTTGTATATTGCTATCATGTCTCCTCTCAATTGTCTCTTCTCCAGAGAGAATGAGTTTAATGTTTGCAGTCTTTCCTCGTAACTGAGGTCCTCCAGTCCCCTTATTAACTTTGTTGCCTTTGTCTAGACTCACTCCCAACTCCAGCACATCCTTCCTGAGGACTGGTGACCAGAAATGGATGGCATACTCCAGATGTGGCTGAACCAGAGCTTTATAAAGTGGCAGGATTATTGTTTTATCTCTTGAGTAAATACCCTTTTTTACGCATGCTAATATTCCGCTAGCTTTGCTTGCTGCAGCTCCGCATTGCATGCTGTTGCTGAGTCTGTCATCTACTAGGACCCCCAGATCTTTTTCCATCCTGGATACCCCCAGAGGTTCTCCCCCTAGCATGTAACTTGCATTCATATTTTTAGCCCCCAAGTGCATTACTTAACATTTTTCAACATTAAACCTCATTTGCCATGTAGTTGTCCACTTCTTTATTTTGCTGAGGTCTTCTTGTAAAGTTTCTAAGTCCTGTAGTGAAGTTATTGCCCTACTTAGCTTTGTGTCATCAGCACACACTAAGATTAAGCTATTTATACCAACCTCTATATCACTTATAAATAAATTAAAGAAAATTGGTCCCAGGACAGAGCCCTGGGGTACCCCACTTACCACTCCAGGTCAGTCTGAAGACACGCTTTTTATCATCATCCTTTGGACGCGCCCCTGTAACCAGTTTTATATCCATGTACAGACCCTCTGGTCCATGCCTACAGACCTCAGTTTGTAAATTAAGCACTTATGGGGAACTGTATAGAATGTTTTTTCAAAATCCAGATATACCATATTCACAGGCTTTCTCTTACCTAGATGACCACATACTTCCTCATAGAATGTTAACAGGTTGATTTGGCAAGAATGACATTTCCTAAATCCATGCTGATTACTACTAATGATACTGTTTTCATCTGCAAAAACCCCTATCATCCCCTCCAGTGGTTTACATACTATCGATGTTAGACTAACTGGCCTGTAGTTTTCTGGAATGGTGAAATTTATCTGTGCCCTATTTAAAATATTGGTACCATGTTGGCCCTTCACTAATCTGTTAGTACCATTCTTGTCAATATGCTGTACTGGCACTATAAACTGGCTGAGTTCTTTGAGGACTGCCAGGTGTAAGCCATCTGGTCCTGGTGATTTATTTGGGTTAAGCTTTTCAAGTCTTTTTTGGACACTGGCTTCTGTTAGCCACACTCTGTCATGCATTACTAATGATACAGTCTTGATTAATATACCCCTCCTTTTCCTTAGTAAAACCTGAGAAGAATACATTTAGTACAGTTGCCTTCTCCTTGTCATTTGTAACCAACTTCCCTTCACCATCCTTTATGAGGCCAATCTGTTCTGACATTGCTTTTTTACCATTAATATATTTAAGTAATTTGTTTTTTTTTTTTTACTCTTCTCTATTATGTGTCTCTTGTGGTCTATCTTAGCTGTCCTGATTGCGTTCTTACATTTCTTATTGTATTCCTTGTAATGAAGGAATGCTGACAATGACCCCCCTATCTTTTATTTTTTTAAAGGGCATTTTTTTCTCTTTATTATGTCTTTTTACATGAAAGTTTAGCCACCCAGGTTTAATCTTAGCTTTTTAATTTTTGTTTCCAATTGGAATATACTGGCTAATACCTATATTTATTATGTTCCTATATTACTCCTGTTTTTCCTCAGTGTTTCTAGGATTCGGTACCCATTTAATATCTTGTATTATTGTGAGCAGTTTAGAAAAGTTGGCTCTTTGGAAATTAAGTATTCTTGTACTACCCATGTGCCTCCTTTTCCCAAGTTGTCATGTATTTCTACATCTGCAACCAGATCTGTGCTATTTGTAACTAATATCACCATTTTAATCCAGAATTTCAATGCAGTACTTTTTTGTCTGCTGCTAGATGTCCTAAGTCTGGTTGCCATTATCATTTATCCCACTTTCTCTGATCCTAGCTGATATTATGTCACATATAGCTTGTGCATACTAAGGTGACAGGCAATACAATTTCTCCTTTAAGTGTATTTCATAAGCGTAATCAGCAGCTACGACAACACAGTATTCTTCTTCCGATTCTTCCTAAAAACAAGACATGTATAATGAACAACACATTGTAGAGAAAGGATTCAGTGCTTACATACAGGAGGTTGTACAAGTTCCTCAAGCTTCCAGGCAGACTGACTCCCCTTGCTATGGTAACACCTCCAGCAGCTGGTCAGTACACTAATGTGCCGCTACACACTTTCGTGTCCTCTAGGGAATTTACCAACTCATTCCTACATTTGGGGCTTGGACCCTGTTTGAATGACTGGCAAGCACTATCTCTCCCTATCTAGCTGGGTGCTATCCCTATTCAACAATTCCCTGTGTTGGAATACAATGTTCATGTATATACAACATTTCTCACAGGTTATAGGCTCAGTAATAGCCTGCTATAGCAAAAAAAGGCAAGATACAGCAACAGAAAGACTACAACAGAATAAAAAAAATGTTCAGTAACACAGCTGCAACAAAGCTTTCGTTTGCAAAACTGACAAACTAGAACTACCAGACTTGGAAATTCATTCAAGATGAAAATACTGCTAATAAAAAAAAGCTACATCAGAATTGTATAAATGAAGTCTGGCCAGAACACTTTTCAGATGAGTGGGTATAGAAACAGATCAGAAAGCTCAGAGCACAATCTCTCTTAGCACAGAAGATGATCAAATCATATATATATGTAAGTGTGAAACTACTAAAGAAATGTGGGAAGGATTACAAAAGGTGCATGAAAGAGCTAATCTCAGCAATAAACTGTATTCAAAAGCTATGCAAAACTGAGCTGATGAAAGCCCGGGATATGCAGGACTGCATAAGGCACACTTTGGAAATGGTTGAATGCCTGAGAGGTATAGAAGAAGAAGTAAAAGTTTTTCATGTCCCAGCACTATTACTTGGTGGTATACCAGAAAGTTATGAAACACTTGTTACAGCACTTGATGCACGTCCAGATGGTGAATTGACATTGGAATATGTTAAGGGCAAGCTTGTGGATGAATAAAAGCATAAAACCGAAAACATTAATAGTGAAGGTGCTTCTGTTGCAGAGTCTGCTTTAAAGATGAAAAATACAGAGGGTCAATTGAGAACTATGGGTCAGCAGGACCACACCCAGGAAGGAGCCTGACCATGGCTTGGAGCAGGAGCTCGATGTGAGGGCTCCCAGCTCCCAAGCACCTCCAGTGTCCTGCCGAGAAGGGGAGAGATGGGCGGGAAGCCCAGGAAAAACTATCCAGGGAGAGGGGGGGCTTGCCTGGCGGGGTGCGTGGACTGAGGACCTCCGGGAGTGGCGGCCATCACGGCGGGTCTTCCTGTGCTCTCGGCCTGGCGCTGTGTGTTCCCTGGCAGAGGAGCCGGCCGGCATTTCTTGGAGCAAGGGAGACGCCGCCTCTCTTCCTCCTGCACACAGGACCGTGGCAGCTGGAGACAATCCACTCATTGTGTGAGGGGAATGTTGAGTGCAATGTTCCCCAGAAGAGAGTACCTGGAGCCACCTCATACCTCACTTGGAGTAAAGGAAGAGATGTCCTAAAGTGCGGGAAAGTCTCTCAGAGAAGTTCAATCCCATAGAAACCAGAGATCTCAGATGGGGGAGAAGTATTCCTGTTTCGAGTGCGGGAAATGTCTTTCATGTAAGTCCTATTTTTATATATACCAGTGATAATACAAGAGTAAGCAGCCATACCCTTGTTCAGAGTGCGGGAAATGTTTTTCACAGAAGTCTAGTCTGCATATATATCAAAGACCTCACATGAGGAAGATGCTATATCCCTGTTCTAAGTGCGGGAAATGTTTTCTCAGACAAAACTAGACTTTACATATATCAGAGATCTAACACAGGTGAAAAGCCATATGTTTATCCTAAGTGCGGGAAATACTTTTCAGTGAAGCTTAGTTTTCACACACATCAGAGATCTTACACGGGGGAGAAGTTGCATACCTGTCTGGAGTGCGGGAAATGTTTTTCATGTGAATCCTATTTTTATATATGCCAGTGATAACACAAAAGGAAGCAGCTATTCCCTTGTTCAGAGTGCGGGAAATGTTTTTCACAGAAGTCCAGCCTGCATATATATCAGAGACCTCATATGAGGAAGATGCTATATCCCTGTTCTAAGTGCAGGAAAAGTTTTCTCAGATAAGTCTAGACTTTATATATATCAGAGATCTTACACAGGTGAAAAGCCATATGTCTGTCTTGAGTGCGGGAAATACTTTTCAGTGAAGGCCAGTCTTCACACACATCAGAGATCTTACACGGAGGAGAAGTTGTATACCTGTTCGGAGTGCGGGAAATGTTTTTCAGAGAAGCCCTTTTCTTCATATATGACAGAGATCTCATACGGGGAAAAAGCCGTATTGGGGACAAGAGGGTGAGTGAGAGCGGCAAAAGTACTGAGATTAATATATTGCATGGGAACTGAACTGTATGTATTGAACTATTTGTTTAAACTGAGGAGGGGTTCACCCGGGGGGGGTCTTAGAGGAAAATCAGAAGGAGGACAATGTAAAACAGATAAAGACCTAGAAGAAGAGGACCTGTGTAGATGAGTTCGGGAGTGGGGGGAGAGGAAAATGAAGAAAAGAACTGAGAGCGGGATACCCATGGAAAACAACAAATTTTGATATCAAATCAAAAACAGCCCCCCCCCCCCAGAAAAAAAAAATCCAAAACTGCGGAAAATTGAAATAGTCCCTGACAGCATGAAAAACAAAGTATTAAAAGGGAGGAGGACCTATGGCTTCCCAAACAGGGTCAATTAAAAAATATATACCCTCACAGGAGAAATAGACTCCAGAGAGACAACAGGGAATAAGTGTAAGAGGTGAGAGGGAAAACAGCAGGGAATGTTCCAGACTATCACTGCGAATAGCTAACAGTAGTCAACATATGAAAGAAGAAGTGGATATGGATAAAGTAGAAGAACAAGAGGAGAGCTCACAGATGCCTAATAAAGCAGAAATAGCAGAAATGTTTAAAGGACTTGAAAGATCCCTAAAACAGGAACTGGTGAAATTACACAAAACACCTGGGGCAAATATTATAAAGGGTGGAGGAGACGGAAGAAAAACTAGATAAACATGCCCAAATTATACAGAAACTGGAAAAACGGGCGATGGAAATGAGAAAAGAAGAAAGAAATCTGTTATATAAATTGGAAGACCAGGAGAATAGGGAATAGGAGATGCAATCTAAGGATACAAGGCTTTCCAGAGATCTCCCAAGGAGAAGATTTGACGGGAATAATAACGAGAATGCTGAATACTATAATGGATAGAACTATAACAGCGCTTCTAAAAATGGAGGGAGTATATAGAATAGGAAAATATATACAAGAAGATAGAAAGAAAAAGCCAAGAGATGTAATAGTGCAATTCCATAATTTCGGGATAAAGAAGAGCTTTGGAAGAAGATAAAAGGAAGAGCAATAATAAAATATGGAGAAATAAATATATAGATCTTTGCTGATTTAGCAGCGGAAACATTAATAAGAAGGAGAACTTTGAAATCGTTATTGGAACAGATGAGAAAACAGAATGTTTGATATGGCTGGGGGTTTCCAGCGTGTGTGATCGGGTGGAGAAATGGACGTTCAGCAAGACTTAGATTCCCCAAAGATCTGAGAGACTTCTGTGAGAGACTTGATATACAGAAAATAAATATCCCGGGTTGGGAGGAAGAAGGAGGAGAAATGTGGGCTATGGAAAATGAGGGGAGGCAGGTAGCTCTAAGGAGAAATAGAGAGTAGGAATAGTAAAGAGGAATAAGATGGGAGGGAAAGGGGGGGGGGGGGGGTTTTCTCTCCTTTTTTTTTTTTTTTCCTCTCTCTCCCTCCATTTCTGCCTCTCTCCTATGATTTTTGAAGTTTACTAGAGTATGGCAGGACACAGAGGATGAGACACACTTATTGGGGAAAAGTACAGAGTTTTACCCTAAAAGCTGAATCAAAGGTGGGGTTAGGACCAATGTAAGCCTAAAGGGAGATGGGGGAAGGGGGGGAGGGGAGGGAGTGGAGTAGGAGGGAGGAAGGGGGAGGAGAGGAGGGAGGGTGGGTGGATGGTTGGGAGGAGGGTATGGGGTGGGGATAGGTAGTTTAAGACTCTGCAAAATAGTGGGAGAAACATCAGTCTGGAGAAATCCTAGAGATCAAAGGGGAAGATGTGGAAGAAAGAGGAAGAGAGAAAAGATGGGCAAGATATAGGTGTGGAGAGGAGAAGAATGGAAGAGATTAACTTTATGACTTATAATGTTAAAGGGTTAAATAGCCCTGGGAAGAAATTTGGGATTTTTAAAGAAATTCAACATAGATTTTCTTCAGTGGTTTTTTACAGGAGACACATTTGGTGCAAGAATCAAACGTGAAATTAAATTCCAGATATTTGGAAGACAGATTGGTAGATCCGAAAGGGAGATTTCTGTTTCTGAAGGGAAAATTACAGGAAATAGACTGTACATTAGCAAATATTTATTGCCTGAATAAGAAACCGGAGGTATTCCTAAAAAAACACTCTGAGAAAGTTAATGGATTTCAAAAAAAGGCAATTTAATTGTGGCAGGTGATTTCAATCTCTGCATGGATCCCCAGATGGATATGACGTCCCCTGTCCAGAGAGATGGTAGTAGGTCTCTGAAATCCTTGAAAAAAATGATATACCAATGTCAACTTGTAGATATATGGAGAATTAAGCACATGAAGGACAGAGACTATACGTTTTATTCTCATGCACATGAGATGTATTCAAGACTGGATTATATATTGCTGGACCGTCGACTTATCGAGTCTCTGGTCATAGTAAAAATAGAAGTGATGTCAATATCGGACCATGCCTCTGTCACAATGCAATTATTGATGGGGAAATGAGCAGATCAGGGGGAAATTATGGAGGTTAAGGATTCAGAGGTAGATCAAAGAATTAAAAAAGAAATAGAGCAATTTTTTGAGGAAAATGATTCTGGGGAAGTGTCCGTAGCAACAGTGTGGGAGGCCTATATTAGAGGAATCCTGATAGCTATTGGAGCAAAAAAGAAGAGGGAAAAGAAGAGAAAAAATAAACACGCTTCTTAGTGAACTCTGTGAGTTAGAGCAGATACATAAACATAAAGTAACAAAAGAGATTATGCAGAGGGTAATAAATAAAAGAGAAGAGTTAAATAAATTTCTGGAAGAAGATAAGAGAAGAGTGTTCAATAAAATGATAAGTGAGAGATACAGATGGGGAGATAGGCCAGGAAAGTATTTAATGAGGGCTCAGAGAAAAAAAAATCTAGGAACTATATAGAGAAAATAAGAGACCACAAAGGAGATTTAATGTATTCAACTAAAGGTATAGCTAAAGTGTTTAAAGAATATTATAATAAGCTATATATTATCCCCCACAGCTCCATAAGTAAACATGAAGTAGGAAAAATAGAAAAAAGACAGACATACTTAAAAAAGGCAGGATTACTAAAATTAAGTGAGGAGCAATTAAAATCCCTAGAATCAGCAATAACGCAGGAGGAAATACACTTAGCATTAAAGAGCACTATAGCTGGGGGAAAAGACCAGTACCTGATGGATACACAGGACTGAGGATATATATGAATGCATTGGGAGGAGAGATGGAAATGAGGAGGGAATCCCTACAAGCCCATGTAGTTCTCATACATAAGGAAAGTAAAGATGATACTCACTGTTCAAGTTACAGACCGATTTCCTTATTAAACACAGATACCAAACTATATGCAAAAGTTCTGGCATACAGGTTGAAAGACCTAATGTCGGAATGGATATACATAGACCAAGTAGGCTTTGTCCCAGGGAGAGAGGGTAGAGATAACGGACTGAGATCTCTGTTTCTCATACAAACAAATAGGAAAGGAAAAATCCCTGCGGTGGTACTCTCTATCGATGCTGAAAAGGCATTTGATAGAGTAGATTGGGGATATATGTTGGATACAGTGGAAGTATTGGGGATGGGACCTATAATGAGAGAGTGGATAAGGAAATTATATAGTCAACCCTCTGAAGCAATCATGGTTAATGGGGAATTGTCAGAGTATTTTGGGATGCAGAACGGAACTAGACAGGGATGCCTTTTGTCTCCATTGCTATATGTTTTATCATTGGAATCTCTTTTGGCTACAATAAGGAATAATATAGATATAAAAGGAATTTGGATAGGAGATATGGAGCATAAGGTGGCAGCTTATGCAAATGACATGCTGTTCTATGTGGGAAACCCAAGGATAACATTGCCAAATGTAATGAAATCACTGAAAGAATATGGGGAGATGTCAAATTTAAAAATTAACCCAACAAAAACAGAAACTTTAAACATAAATCTTCCAAATAGAGAGAAAATAGGCTACAGGAGGAACTTACCTTTGTTTGGAGAGAAAAATAATTGAAATATCTAGAAATAAAATTAACTGTATCCTCCAAGAACTTGTATAAATTGAATTATATCCCATTGTTAAATGAGATCAGGGATGAACTAAGGAAATTAAAAGGGGGAACCCCTTCATGGATAGGTCGTATAAATTTTATAAAAATGGTGTGATTGTTCCAAAAATATTATATAAATTTCAAATGATACCAATTAAACTACCAGAAGTATACTTTAGATCAATTATAAAAATGTTAATAAGATTTATTTGGAGGAATAAAAAAACGAGAATAAGCCAGGAAATTTTATGTAGAAATAAAGAGAAAGGAGGATTGGGAGTCCCAGATTTAAAAAGATATTATGACTCGATAATAATGGCAAAAATTTTTGACTGGACATATAATGCAGAGGGGAAAAGCTGGGTTAAAATAGAAAATATACTAAGTAATACTAAATTAAGTGGAATTGTATGGTTACCTCCACAATACAGAGGATTAGCAGACAGTAGTGAAGTGAAGTTGAAGTATGTGAAGTTTGTTCACATTTAATGTTTTAAGAGTTTGGGATGTTTTACACAAACAGATGGGATAGGAATTTAATCCATTGTTATTGCCCTTAAAGTCCACAGAGTTTTTCCCCCCGGGTAAAGAAGGTATCACAGGGAAGTGGATTAAGAAGGAAGATGCACAATTAAGGGATATAATGGTGGGGGAGGAAAAGGATCACTTGAGGAATTGGAAAAAAAAAGGAGAAGTTTTTACGAGAATGGATGAGTGGCGTTATTTTCAATTGAAACACTTTATAGGAAAGCTTCCAAAGCCTTTAAGAATAAGAGAGGATTGGAATCCTTTTGAGCACTTATTAGGTACACGGGGAGATTCCATATCAGTATCACATGAAGATAAGCAACAAAGTGACACAGAAATAGAAATTTAAGCAAACAATCCAAATAATCCAAATATTGTAAAAGAGGAAACCAGGCTACAAGAGGTTTCAATCAGGAAATC